AAACGGAGACAAGATGCTTGTATAGGACAAGTTCTTGCCAAACTGCTGATGGTCCAATCCGATTGCTGGCCGACCGGAAGCAGTACTGAGTCGGACATTCAAAACTCTCTTCTACCGCAACTCAGATTACACCCAACAATTAAACGCCAATGGCATTGACTACGATCTCTGGTCGCATTGATGCTCGTTTTGTGCATATGTCCTCATAAAATTAAATTATACTAAGAAACACCAAAATCTTGTGTGTCGCTCTCATCATAATTTCTAATAACGCGGAAAAATGTGTAGTTTATCGTGCAGCTCCTCATCTGAAAACCCAATTCAACGTACGAATGCGATCTAATTTGAACGTTGCGTTCAATTACCTCCCTGAGATCCTCGTCCGGACATAAATTCGCTCTGCAGGTCCCTCCTACGCTTCCAGCTTTTTTTTCATTGGCACTTAGCTCGACTATGAGATTGAACAATACTATAGCTCGGGAGGAAAGCAAAATGGGTGACATTTAAAGCTAACTATTATTTATGTTAGCAAGCTAATGTGTTAGAGACACTTAGTTCGAGTGAACGTGGGAACCATTAGTGTTTCTTGCTTACTCAATGACAGGCCATACATTGCGCATTAGAAGTGAATCTGTGCAGGATCATTATTTAGGATTCCAATGGAAACAATCAGCTTGTTCGAAAAAAAGAACGGATTCTGGACACGTGAGATACACCGGACATCTCTCCAAATTACTGACTACATACACAGCCCTGATGAGTCTGTGCACGAGTTGTCTTTCAGACTCTGGCAATGAAAGGTCAGCAAATAACTAGACCAGTAGTTGAAATTCGACATCTCGCACCATGTCACACTTGCGTGACGCACAAAGATTTATCGGCAAAAGTTGTAATACCTTTTACCTTTCAGCGACATTGAGGCAGCAAAATTCAAAAGACCACAATGAAATGCTTAAGTGTTAGCTTCGATAGTGACGTAGCGCAGTTATTTCTCCCTCGGTCACAGCACGAATAAAGCGAGCGGAGAATAAAAGGGGAAAAGAACAGACATTATTTATTAATCTTCACGATTGTCAGGATGGTATGTGCTCCATTTGCTGGTGGTGGGGTGACAACAGCATCAAATGCAAGAGGAGCAGGTTTTAAAACTAATGCATATTGGTGTGTTGAATGGGTATTTAAATATTTACATACAAAAGCACACGATGGGAGGCAAGGGTCGCAGAACTAGAGGGAACATTGCATTGTGTTGCCTCAAGCTAGAAGCAGCGGGCGATGAAAGACGAGAAGAGGCTTCAGTAGAGACCGGAGTCCTGTTGGAGGAGAAAAAGGGCGTTGTTAGTTGCAGCATCATCTCTACGTCCGGTAACACCTGCACTGCTGCTGTCAACAACACCACTACCAGAACCAAAGTGGAAGGTTCCCGTAGGTGTTGTCCAGGGATCAAAGGCGGCGTTGGAGACGGCAGTAGGCAGTTGAAAACACCCCGAGACGGCGGAAAAGGTGGAGGATGAAGAGACAGGGGAAGCGGAAGCAGAGGACTTCCATGTCAAGGAAGGAGATGACGATGAGGTGGAGGCGGATGTCGAAGCTGCCGATGTCGACCGCTCGTATTCACTCTCGATGGCGGCCTGTGGATGATGGTGTTGGCGATGCGTCTTCGGTTTTGTGACCGTCGACAGCTGACATACCTAGGAGTAGAACCAAATCCCTAACATTGTCTTGAAGTCGAATCTAGGTTCTAAACTATTGACTGCTAAATTGTGACGATATCCGATTCGCTTCCTTGAACAAACTCTGCAGTGATTCATGTCGACTTATACAAAAAAAAAA